AAATGAAAGGCTTCCAGAGATTGGTGAGAGTTTGCAATGACTGTGCAGTGGACAGTGAGAGAACTGCCCTGTGCTGAGGGCATAATTGAGGTTGGAGACTGTCTTGGTTCATTTATGCTACTATAGAGAAGGACCATAGGCTGGGTCATTTATATATAACAGGATTTTGTTTCTCACAGTGCTGGAGGCTGGGAAGTGTAAGACCAAGGCACCGGCCTTGGTGAAGACTGCTTTCTGCTTCCAAGGTAGTGCCTTATAGCCACATCCTCTGGAAGAGTCAAATGCTGTGTCCTCACATGACAGAAAAGCAAAAGAGTAACAGTGCCTCAGCTGGTTTCCTCCAGCCCTTTCATAAGGCACTAATCCATTCATGAGTGATATGGTTTGGCTGTGTCCCCACTCAAATTTCATCTTGAATTGTAATCCTCATAATCCCCACATGTTGTGGGAGGGATCCAGTGGGAAGTGATGGGATTATGGAGGTGGTTTCCCTCATGCTGTTCTTGTGATAATGAGTGAGTCTCACGAGATCTAATGGTTTTATAAGCGTCCAGCATTTCCCCTGCTCACACTCGCTCCATTCTGCCACACTGGGAAGAAGGTGCCTGCTTCTCCTTTGCCTTCTGCCACAACTGTAAGTTTCCTGAGGCCTCCCCAGCAATGCGGAACCGTGAATCAATTAAACCTCTTTCTTTATAAATTACCCAGTCTTGGGTATTTCTTCAGAGCAGCATGAGGACGAACTAACACAATGAGTGATTTAGTCACTCTGCAAAAGGCCCCGCCTCTCAATACCACCACAATGAAGATTAAGTTTCAACATACGAATTTTGTAGAACTTTCAGACCACAGCAGAGACCACTTGTACTTGGCATGGTCTTTATGGCATTATGTGTTTCTGCAATTGTGACTATTTGGGGGTAAAGAAAAAGGAGAAGAGACAGATTTCTACCATGGGTGGAGAAAGTAGAAAAGTTTTCTGAGACAGGGACTCACTGGGAAAGCTAGACCAATATTAGCTGCAATCTTTGGGAATGTAGGTCTTCACAGTGTGTCTCATGTTTGGTTAAAAGCACTTCCAAAATATCAGACAGTTATGTCTGAATGGAATCACACAAATGTATCACAAAGTCAAATATAACTTTTTTTTTTTTTTAGTTTCTAAAATGCGTGGGTTCTTGGTCCTATATATAACTTTCTGTTCTTCAGAGAAGAGCCACATAGAAAGGGCAGGCACTGGTCTTAAAGGGATCACCTTATAGGATCTAAACCAATACATCCCTTACACTTTACTTACAATACAGCATAAAATGCCTCTGCTAATGACTTGAGCATTGTATTTCTTGGATCTATGATCACTTATTATTTTAACCTTTCAAAGCCAATACTTTTAGAGCATTCAACTCAAACTACTTTTATTGGCCTAGAAATGCTTTATTGCAGTTTGGCTGACATTTTCTTTTAATAATGTCATTAGCACTCCTTAAAAATGAATTCTGTTGGGGTATATAGTACTACCTTTGTTTTAAGAAAATGTTATGATTTTGTGTGTACATGAGGTGGGTCCCATAGCTACAAACATTAGCAATATGTTTCTGATTCAACAGAAAGATCTTTCTGATTCTATAGGCACACTTCCATTTCTATTAAGCGTTAAGTATTTGGTTGGTAAAAATTCCTGAATTTAGATGTACTTTTTCAGGATTACATTGAATTCTCAACATCTTTTAAGAGAGAGTCCAACTTCAGAGTCACTAGGCTTAATTAAAATCTCTAGCGCTTAGTTTGTTTATATTCCTTACCTACTTTGTAGATTTAGCTCTGGTAACTGTTGTTATGCTGACACTGGTTTCCAGTGGGTCACTGAAATCAAATTAATGCAGGCATCTGAAAAGTCAGACATCAATTGTGTTCATTTTCATTTTCCTTATTTTAAAAGGTACAAAATAAGGAAAAGTGATTCTGTTTAACCTTGAAGAATCCTGAATGTATGGACATAGACTACAAGCATTTTAGTGGAAAAATAAAAATTATTTGTAGAAAAAATCCTAAAGAACAAAAACCAAAAGCAAAATAAGAACAAAATTCCTTTCTATACCAATTCTTTTCTGAATATGTAAAGACCCAAGGTCCAAACTCCATTTCCTAGGCCTTTGGAAATGCCTTTAGCGTGTACTCAATACTTTACATTCTGTACTACTATCGAGAGCACTCTATACTGTACATTCAATTTCTTTGTCCAAGTGCAGTAGCTCTCAAAGTCTGGTGTCCACCATCAGGCCTAGGAACCTACTAAAAATGTCAAGTCTTGAGACTCACTCTAGATATTCAAAACCAGAAACTTGATGGGTGGGGCCTGCAATTTGTGTTTTAACAAGTCCTCAGCTGGGTGCGGTGGCTCACTCCTGTAATCCCAGCACTTTGGGAGGCTGAGGCAGGTGGATCACGAGGTCAGGAGTTCAAGACCAGCCTGGCCAAAATGGTGAAACTCCGTCTCTACTAAAATTACAAAAAATTAGCTGGGCATGGTGGCGGTGGAGGGGGTGGGCGCCTGTAATCTCAGCTACTAGGGAGGCTGAGGCAGAGAATTGCTTGAACCTGGGAGATGGAGGTGGCAGTGAGCTGACATTGTGCCACTGCACTCCAGCCTAGGCGACAGAGTGAGACTCCATCTCAGAAAACAAAACAAATAAACAACAACAAAAAAAAAACAAAAACAAGTCCTCCAGGCACTCCGTTGGTTTGCTCTGAAGTTTGGGAACTTCTGGCCTAGAGCATTGTTCTCAAGTATTTGTGTACACCTACACCACAAGCTCCTGGAGGAGCTTGACTTAACATGAGTCTCTCACTCAGTCCCTGAGATTTGGAGGCAGTAAATGCAGGAAGCTGTGTGGGAATCTGCGTGTGTGTGTGTGTGTGTGTGTGTGTGTGTGTGTATATATATATAGTCTGTAGAACACAATTTGAGAAATTCTGCCTTGAAGTGGAATTTAAATGTTGACAAAATTAGCATTTCCCCCCACAAAATCCTTCTCCATAACTGAGCAAAAACCTTTGAACTCTGACTTACAAATATCTATAACTTTCACTCAGCCTGCAGAATGCCTGCTTCTGAAGAGGTGTGCAGGCTTCCCTCATCACTGCCGTGGGGACCTGGAGCCTCTGTGTGCTTCAGGTGTAAGGCTTTGCCTGACTCTGCTACAGGTGTGCACCTGTTTCATCACAGGGATGTATGCTCAAGGGATGTGGCATAATCCACACCTCCACAGAATGTACAGCACTGAGTATGCTCGGCCAAGACAAAACACAAGGAAAGATGTCATCTTTATTTGCCCTGAGATGATAGTTGGAGGAAGACTGTTTGAGCAAAGAGGCATTGATCCCTGCATATCCTGCCAGGGAAATACCCTCTTCTAAGCAAGGTGACCTTTCAAGCAAGTTTTGAGAATTACTGATTTAGAATGTAAGGTATGCATAAATATATCTAACTGTGATTTGGGATCAGACACACACTGCATTTCTTCTTTCCATTGAACCTTTTCTAGATCAGAGATGAAAAAAGATATTTTTTTAAATGTAGAAAGGTGAAGTTTGTGATGGCAAAAAAGCGTATTAATTGTGATTTTATTAAATCAGTCATGTGTTTTCTTCAAGGTATTGGGACCAAATTAATGCATTCATAACATTACTTTGTTTTCATTGTATTTGTTTTTATTGTCATCTGACATTTAAGGCAATTAATACTGTATTTCTACTTACGTTAATAATAAAACAAACCTTTAAATAATTTTATTCCAGTAAAATGTGTGAATTAAAGGAGAAATGTTAAGTAAATATTAGTGCAGATGGCAATATTCTGAAGATGCCACATGAATAATCAAAGTGTGGGAAATGCACGTTATTTTCATGAGTTCAGCATAATCCATTTTAACACTTTTCCAATGTTGAGCTTTATATTTGTTTTCTGTTATAAACAGTGCTTCAAAAAAACCTCTTGTAGCTAAATATTTTTCATATCTGTAATGGTTCTCTTAGGAGAATTCATAGATGTGGAATTGTTGAATGGAAGGGCAATAATTATATTATTTTAAAGTTTAAAATTGGTGTCCATTAATCATTTCCCTAAGTTTTTATGAAGACATTTAGGAAGTCAGTAAAGCAGCATTTATGACCTATGGGAATACTTTCTTCCTTGTTACTCAAAGCGTTGCTTAAGGCAGTGGCCTTCAAGTGTGTTCTGGGACCAAATGGCAATTTCTCCCCAACCAGCCAAGGCGTGTGGTGGGGAAAAGGCTTGGTGGAAGATCTGGTTTGTAGTTAATGTTAAGTAACCTTTCCACTTAATTAGCTTTGTGATATCGTGCAAGACACAACTTCTCTAAGTTGTAATTTTCTCATCCATAAAATTATACTAAAAATAATACTGGTTATCTCACCAAGTTGTGAAGATTAAATAGAGTGATATATGTGAAAATAGCTTGTAAATGAAGCATGATGTAAAATATATAAAGTATTATAAAAGCCCAATATATGTTCTCCTCTTGAGAGATTCTTAAAGCCTAATTCTCTGACTTCACAGGTACGTCGTCTCACGCAATTCAGATAATTTTTTAGTACCATATAGGGTTAGTGTCTAGAAAAAAATGAAGGATATGAAAGAATGAAGAACGAAGTTCCAGTGAGACGCTATTTCTTTACAGATTGCTCCTCCCTGTCCCCTACACAACACTAGAACCTGGTATAGCGCTGTAGTCAATACTGTGTGTGTGTGTGCATGTGTGTGTATGTTTTAAATAAGGTCTCATTCTACGGTCCAGGCTGGAGTGCAGTGGTGCAATCTCAACTCATTGCAGCTTAGACCTCTTGGGCTCAAGCAATCCTCCCCTGTCAGCCTCCTGAGTAGTTAGAACTACAGGCATGCACCACTACACCCGGCTAATTTTTGTATTTTTTGTAGAGATGGGATCTCACTATATTGCCCAGCTGGTCTCAAACTCCTGGGCTCAAGTGATCCTCCCACCTCAGCCTCCCAAAGTGCTGGGATTACAGGCATGAGCCACCTCAACCTGCCAACACTAACTCTGGACTTTTGTTTGAGCTTTGCTGCTTATCATCAAATCTCAATGAAAATATTAGTTACTCAGAAGTCACCTTACTTGTTAATCTAGAATTGGTCTGGTGGCTTAGGATTTCTGAGTCTAGGCTAGGACCAGAGCCAGCCACTCCTGGCATCTACATTGCTAGGGAAACTAATGATCTTCACTGAGACTCTGTTCTCCTCCCATAATGTACATTACCCAAATGGTCTCTTGTCATGTGTGGATTCAGGTAAAAATTGTCTGATGAGCTGCATACCAGAAAACTGTGATGTGGACAAACTCCAGAGAGTAGAGCAAGATCTGAGTGCAGCGTGGTCAGAATGGCAGAGGCTGACACTGAGAGCACCTGGGCTCTAGAATCAGCTCTGTCACTTCACCACGTGGGGCCTCAGTTCCTTATCTGTAAAAAAAAAAAAAAGGAGTTAGATGAGAATCTGGTCATGAGCTGATCTTCTAGGTCTCTCCCCACAGTTAAGATCCCATAATTCTGCAGGTCAGTTTATAACCTGCAAGGGGATTCTTCCCTGAGGGCCCTCACAAGGTTTTGAATGGTAGAGCAAGTGGAAATGGGGGAATGTCCTTCCCAACCTCCCGCCGTGGGCAGGAGAGGAAGTGCTGTCCAGGAGGGCCTTAGCTGGACCATCTGGGGGAATGAGGATTCCACTCTGTGACATCACAATATCCAGCCCAGGTTTGACCTTGACAACCGGGAAGGAGATACAACAGGAGGTGCAGTTACTGATATAGCCAAGGTGGGACGCTGCTGGAGGGAGCTAGAAGGGATCAGCCAGCCATGCCTCCAGTTCAGGTACGTGGCATTGCTAAGCTCGGAACAGGACTTGCCAATGTCTAAAGGAAAAAGAGGAGAGATCTCAAGGCAAGTGTGTCTCCAAGCTTAGGAAGAACAGTATAAGCACAGATAGCATGTGCCCCAGCTGTGTTAGGGTAATGTAAGGTTCCATACGAGCAGAAGCAGAGCTGGGTGCATTCTGCCAACAGCCAGTCTGCTTGTCATGAAGCTGGACGGTGAGGACATTTCTGAGGCTGTAGTCCACTTGTGCTGCTGGTGATATATTTCTATATAGAGGTTTTTGTCTTTCAATAGCTTCTCCCTGGAATGACAGGGAAGAGTAAACAAAAATAAGTTCACTGAAGGAAGTATTTTAATAGAAGCCAGTACAAAAACAAACAAAAGTAAAAGGTGAAAAGTTATATTATGGGTTAGCAAGCAAGACTGACTCTAAGGTCGAGTTTTGAAAGTTCAAACCTTGAAAGGCAAAAGGCCACCCCTATAAACAGTAAAAGAGAAGGGGCTTTTGGCTGAGAAGTAAGTAAAACAGTTCTGCTGGAACCATATACGGGACCCCCCACCCAGCTCCCAGCAACTCCCGCCAGTGAAATCATTGCTGGGGATGCGGACAGTTCTGTTTTCTTTACCTTGCCTTGGGGTTTTGGCTTCTACAATACTTGTTTCTTCCTGCAGTCTTGGGGCCCCGAGAGGCTCTCAGTGACAGCAAAGAACTGTTCTGTTTACCAGTGGGGCGGAGCACGGGGCCAGCGCCAGGCCCTGACTCATCCCCATGTGGACTCCCTTGGGTCTTAGCACACTGCAACCCCGGAGTTGGAGCACAGGACAGCTCAGGCAGGCACGCTGAGCTCTGCCTGCAAGGTCAGAGTTGATGGCGATGCTCCCTCAGTGGGAGCCGGAGTCCCTGTTCTGACAGGTAGGTCAGTCACCCACAGGGGACCCAAACAGCCATTGACAAGAGGAAGAAGAGATGAAATCTCTATCCACAGGACACAATTCTAACTCTCCTTGACCTCCAGCACATCACGAATAAATATGTCATAGCAGTAAGGCCAATACTCTCACATTCTATGAAAGTAGTAATCGTCCCCACAGCATGTAAAACTGAGAGATCCAGATAAAAACAAAATACACTTGCACATTAACTTTATAGCACACATTCAACTGCTGTACAGAAGTCACTGTGATTTTCACAATTCGGTTATGATCTAATCATAACCACTCAAACCTTGAACATTAAAATCTCATTGGTCCAGTTTTTAGCCTTCCTTCCTTGATAGCCATTGAAAACTAAGTTTAAGCTGAACCTCAGATAATACCCACAAAACACAGAAAGTCCTAACATCTCCATTTGCATTTATTGACTGTAACGTTCCCTGACCCTTGTGTTAGTCACATGCTGCTGCAGCCTGTCACATACTGCAGAATTTTAGAGTCGGAGGGAAACTAGAAGATCATCCATTCCACAGCTTCGTTTCCAGGAGAAACCAGACACAGAAGTGTCTCGGCTAAGGGGATCAAGCTAGTTAGTGCTGGGGACTCAAGTTTAAGCCCCCTCACTCTCAGCCTGGTGGCCTCTCCAATACACTCCGCCCCACAATGAATGAATGTGTTGGTTCATATTTGAACTAACTCTTTGATTTTCTAAGTTAGAATATGCTAAAAAGAGGAAATCTCGTTTATCACTTTGGTGTGGTTATTGGTAAAAGTAGGTATTCTCCTAGCCTCTGCATCGCCATACAAAATAAGCTTTGGTTAACGACAAGAAAAAGCACCAAAGACCCCATTCAAAAGACTGAGATAACAGTGAAAATAAATCCAGGGAAACTGACTAGCTACAGTAAATTGAGGGCTGATTAGAAGTAATCTTTTTTTTTCTTAAAAAAAAATTTACACAATTTACCAGATTTTTACTTTATAATAAATATATAGTCTTCCTGTGGCCTTGTCTTTTCCAGTTTAGGTAGACAATACTTTGTTTATGAACATGTGTGTGTACACCCTTGAATGTACAGATGAGTAAACACTTTATCTGGCAGGTGTGAGGCTGGCTATTACATCCATCCATGGTAACTGACCTACCCTTACTTACCTCATATATCTTCTATATGAGCCTTCTCTGACTTATCCAATGAATTAATATTCTATTTGGAATTAATATGATAGTATAGGAGGAGCCTCCTTAGACTTGTCCAGGGTTTGGCATACATGATGCTATATATGTCTTGCATCCATAATTAATCTGCAAGTTTGAGCCCGGGCAGTGCCTGGGTGCAGGTACTCAGCGTTTTTCCAATTAAATTCATTGCAAATATAATAGTATCAGTCCAAAGATCCAAATTCTGAAAGAAAAGGAAATGAAATGAAGAATTTTTAAATATAAATAGAGACCTAATTTTTATAGTCATCAGCGCCATCATTAGCCTTAGAGAGGTCTGATAAGTATTTTCTAGGTCATTAGATTGTTTTTTAGCCAACTAAAATGTGAACTTCCTGTAAGGATTATCCATATGTTTCTGGTTTTATATGCAGATTGCCTTTAATAAAAGATAATTATGAAGCAATTACCAACAAGAAGGAGCATAAGAAATAGCATTCCATCATGGCATAGGCTTTAAACAGTTGTTGTTATAGCTTTCAGCTTCCATATTAATTTTAAAAGTTGTGTAATATATTGAGTAATTTTACACACACCACGCCATATAACTACAGGAGAAAGCTGATTGTGAAAAACAGAGGGATAAAAGAAGTTTTAGTTTCAGAATTCTTCATTGTGGTTTTGAAGTTTCAAATCTCTCCAGTAAAATAAAACACAGGTATGCCAAGTAAACTTTTGAAATGTTTTCTCTTGAATTACCGGAGAAGATGCAGCCTTGACAAGTTTTATTTAAGAGATTTGGAAGGAAAAAAAGCAAAGGAAGCTACCTCTCTGAAGATCCTGAGACAGCAGAGTCTCCTTTTGCTGCCATCCCCTGAGGCGCCTTGGCAAGCGGCCACGCTGGATCTCCGACACGCGCAGGACACTGCCTGTCATCCCAGCCCAGCCCCCATGCCCACTCTCCCAAGAATTGTGCAACAGGGCCTTTGTAACCTGAGGCCTGTGAAGTCTGTGGAGGAATGTGACCCAGAGCCAAGGGGCGTTGGTGCCACCAGGGCTGAGAAGGAGCTCTCCTGATGTTTACCCTGCTATCCCGTGGGAACCTCAGAAGGGGGAAGGTATGCTCTGAAATGCATGGGGAGTCAAGTCCTTGGCACAGCTGTGAAGCAAGCACTCTAGTGAGTGTCTTTTCCCGTCATCTTTGCTGACCTCCGGAGGCATGCTTCATGCTACTCCAGAGAGTAGAACCTGATGTGCTTTAATTTTTATTGTATTTGTATAAATATATGGGGTACAAGTGCAATTTTTAAAAATGCATAGATTGTGTGGTGGTCAAGTTTGGGCTTTTAGGATAACCATCACCTGACCTACCCATCCTCCTTTCAAGCCACACCTCCTCCTCCTCCTCCTCCTCTTAATTGTGTCTCCTACTGAAAGCTACAAGTTGTGGTCCCATTATTCCAATGTCCTGTAAGGGTAAAGGGCATCCTGCTGTCCAGGGAGCAGGGATCCATATTATATGTGATGAGGATGGTAGAGTGCCAGGCACTGGTAGCAGGACAGCCCCAGAAATCTTTGGGATTCATCGATTTACAAAACCAGCTTCCTGCCTCCTCTCCTCACCTCTCCCATAGACATCATCCTCCAATATGACAAGTACACAATCTGGCCACCATAATACTTGGGGTTGTTGCGTCTCTTCTGCCTGGGGAAAATGTCATGAGCTGAGTCATGAATATTCTCCTTTTAAGTTACCCAAACATCATGATGGCCACACAAATGGAGCTCTAACCAATAGGAAGTGAAAGATTCACTCTCAGTCTTGCCATTTGCGTGGCACCGAGGACTACGGCGTGTAATTCACTACAAATGACAAGTTCCACATTTTTATATTACCAATATTGTTGATCACAAAAGGTGGTCTCAGGAAAACGGACGTTTTAGCCAGTTGAGAAGACAACTTACTTGGCACCTAGAAGACCAGTATTCTCGTCCTTTCAAGTATATTTAGAATGCAAAATCATTATTACTACAAGAGAGGGAAAGCTTTTTTTTAAGTTAGGATATGTTCCTCTGCATGGTAGGAACTGGCACTATCTCCCTCCCCACATCGACCTTATCTCCTCTCATACTATGTCCTTTCAAGGAGGTTGTTTTCCAGTCTCCTTTCTATGACAAATGAATTCAATGTCAGTTTCAATCCAGTTTGTACTTTTAAAAACTTAATATGCACCTGGGACTGTACTAGGCACTGTGACAACAGTAAAATAAAATGTTTGACATAAGTTGGGCTCTTTAAGAGTTAAGAATTTAGTTAAGGAGACAAGATGTACACCTGCAAAGAGTTCAAAAGCAAAGAGGAAACTACAAAACTATGTGAAAAATGTGCGCACTGTGGACTTCAAAGTGCCCCAGGGGCTCAGAGCGAAGAAGCAGTGTTGTCTGGAGTGTTCAGGTTGCTCATGAGGGCAGGTCAGCACTGACACATGGGAGGAATCTTGAAAGGAAGAGAAACAGAGTATGACTGATTGACACAAACTTAGGGAGAAAAACAATTTCCTAGTGAAAATTTTGGCCCTGGCACAACTACTCTTCTCCCACTCACCAGCGCTCATGTCCACTCTCCCTGCGCTTTGACGACTCGTTCTTGGCGTGCAAAGCAAACAATTCACATTGCTTCATTGGGATATGAAAAAGAGGAGTCATGGAAACACAAGGACACCAGGAAGGACAAAATGAACTCTAACAGGTGGTTTCCGTGAACAGCCCTGCATGCTGAAACCAGGGCTGTGTCTGACTTTAATTATGCACATGGGCTTCTAGAGCCTACACCCTGAAGCCAACATGTTCCAAAACTAACTCATTATCTTCCCCAAACCTGCTCCCCCTTTGTGATTCCCACCTCAGCCAATGGGCCTCACCATATTCCCAGTTTCTCTGGCGAGGATCTCAAGTGCCCTCTGATTCCTGAGTCACTCTCTACTGCTGCATTCGGTCACTGAGCATTGAGTTTAGGGGGTTGGATCTCCACATCTTTTCCGAACCCATTGCCTCAGCCAGTTCTTCCTGCTGCCACCCTGGTCTGGGCCCTCATCTCCTCATCTTCCTCTAAGGTCACTCATCTCTCCAGCCCCATTCCTCTGCACTCGTTGGCCACACCTTTCTAAAATAGAAACCAGCACTCCCCAGTTTCAAGTTTTTCCCATTGTTTGTAAGACAAGGACTAAACTCCTTTGCTTGGTTTTCAAGGCCTCTCACCTTCTCCAGTTTCACTGGACCAAGCCTCTCCCCTTGGCCACCCATTTACCCATTCCTCCCCACCTCTTATGCACCAGGCGGATCTGTCTGCCTTCAATTTTCCAGCTTGCCCAATACTTTTCTTGCCTCCATGGTCTTGCTCATGCAATTTCTACAGCTTTTCTGATAGTTGAACTCCTAATGCGGCCTCCTGTGGGATTCCTGCTTCCCAGGGGCCACTGCTTCCTACCTCCATCATTTGTATGACATTCTCCTGACATTTAAAAAATTTTGACCCTTTGTGCTGAAGAAGTGAGCCAGGTGAGATTGGGAGACCAGGGTGAAGGGAGTAGAAGAATGTTTTGAGACAGGGAAGAGCATGTGTAAAGACTCAGAGGACAGAGAGAATGGTGTGTTCATGGAGCTAAACGTGCATAGTAGTTAATAGAAACTGGGTTTGAGTGGACAGGACAGCATTGGGAAGAAATGGCACTGGAGACAGGGGCAAGTCCTAGGGATTGGCCCTGCTAAGAAACTGGACTTTTAGCTAAAGATCAACGGGGAAGTTTGAAGAGTTATCAGCAGGGCAGTGATGGGATAATATTTGCATTTTAAAGGAATTAGTATATGGGGACCAGAGAAAGACTGGAGAAAGGACTGTCAGTTAGAGAAGGCTGGCAGGAGATAATAAGCTTGGTCAAGGGTAGTGACCAAGTTCACTACCTCTATTCAAGAAACAGAGGAAGAGAATAGACTTCAGAGAGCTTTAGAAAGGAGGCGCGATTAGGCCTGGTTAATTGATCGGCATGGTTTAAATGGAGAGGGTGAGAGAAGGGAGACACCTGGGTTTCTGGCATGCCTAGAAATGATACTGTCCACGGCACGGCATCACTTCCTGCTGATGCCCTCTAAAGAGACTGGGTCTCTCTCTCCCTTCTCAGAGATGAAACTTTTGACAGTGAGAGTGGGGGTAGTCGACAGCTCCTCAGACATTTGCTTCAGAGAAGACACTTCCAGTTGATATGGGGCCTGGATCTCATTCATTTGTTACAGTCTCCAGGGCAACTAGTTATTCAATAAACTTTGGTGAATAAACAACTGTGCCTATAAATACTGTTCCTGGTAGTCTTCCTGCTATGTTTTCTAAAAAATATTGGGCATTTTATCTTTTATTGCCCTTCATAGTGTAAATATAATGGAGCCTGTCTTCCTCTCCAACTCAGATTTCAGTTGAAAGTCTTCATTAGGAGGCAAGTCTTCTGCCAGCTGGGTTATTTGATAGCCGTCATAGTCTTCATGGTGCTCCTTGATGGCTATTTAATATCTGGTAGCTCAGAGTCATCACCAGAAAATCAACTGTGTCTTTTGACAGCATCCCGAGCCAACAGTCCCCTTCCTACATCTTCCTTTCTCTTCAAAGTCATGGCCTGTACAACAAAAGATTAAAATCCCCTTATGTCCTTTACTCCTACCTAGAACCTTAAAGGAACTAAACATACCATGTCTTCTGACTGCATCTTTTCTTATGAATCATTTCAAGGCATGCTCATATTGTCAGAAAGTAGTTCATCTCCAGAATCATGGGTCACGATCAACTTGCTCTGTCCCTCCCCTGCCACCACTGCCCCCTTCCTCTATTGGTAAGTCCACTTGATAGAGCGGTGAGGTCTCCTTCTTTTCCTCCTCCACCTGTAGTCTGTGCTGTTGTGGCATGTTCTTTTTTTTTTTTTTTTCCTTATTTATTTATTTATTTATTTTTGAGACAGAGTCTTGTTCTGTCACCCAGGCTGGATTGCAGTGGCACGATCTCAGCTCACTGCAACCTCCACCTCCCAGGTTCAAGTGTTTCTTGTGCCTCAGCCTCCCCAGTAGCTGGGATTACAGGTGCCCACCACCATTCCCTGCTAATTTTTGTATTTTTCGTAGAGACACGTGTTTCACCATTTTGGCCAGGCTGGTCTTGAACTCCTAACCTCAAGTGATCTGGCTGCCTCGTCCTCCCA